AGTAAAAATAGGAAATTAAGTTTGCGATACGCTCGATGGTGCAAGGGTCTAATTTCAATTTATCGCTGGAGCTGAAAATTATAGAATCTTCTTTATACCCAGGAGAATGAAAAATGACACGCGCTTTTAATGTTTCGAGCCGTTACTTGTGATTTTTTACTTCTTCGCGAGGAAGATTTTCAATTCGTTTTCAGAACGTTCGACATGCATTTACGTGCGCGACTCTAAACCTCAGATTACGCCAACTCGTAAAGGCCGTAAAGGTGCGTTTACGTTTACGTAGTTTAAACGCACGATAGCGCGCCGGGCACTGCTGCTCTTGTTAACACTCCGTTAACTCGTGGTTCAGGCAACCTCGTAAAATTCGATGGCCTGGCTACCATAGTAGGCGGGCGATAATACGCGTGCACGAAATTGACTGAAGAATTTCTTGGTATATCTTTCTGTGTGAATGTCGCTTGACGAGGAAATATTTCTCACATTATTACGTTCATTATCGGCTTCCACGTGTGGCATTCCGAACGCGCAGCGTCTTGGCATTATATTTTATAATACGCGCGTCTTTCTTTAAAACGGCTCAATTAATTTTTAGGGGGCTGGATAAGGCTAATTTATTTTATCAGACAAGTATTATCGAAAGCAGAATTTGTCGTCAATTTTCGTTATAATTCGTTTTAAAACGTCATCTTTATCGCGCGAGAGCTCATAAAAGAGCCGTTTTGCGAGCCACCGATCGATAACTTTTAATACAACCGCTTCGATACCTCACCGAATTTTCCGCTTCGTGTTCGTTTTCTACCTTTAATCGGTTACGCTTTCTCTCTTTCTCTCTTTATCCGTATATCTGACGCGATACACCCTAAGGAAGATCGTAAAAGACTGCGCCACTCGCGTGATTGTTGCGAATTCGTTATTGCTCTTGTTAACGCCCCACGCTGAATATCTCTGGACAAACCTCATAAAATCCAACGGTTTTACGCTAGTCGTGCTTTAAGACAATCGCAAAATCTACCTTGACTGATCACGCGATGAATAAAGGATGGTTTACATCACCTACTGTCTGATTGTATCAGTCCTTTATTGATTTTGCGAAATTCCAAGATAATTAGGAAATCTCTGCGAAATTACCGTAAAATTTCTGAATCTTTATTAATCGAGCATATTTTACGTAGCAACGAATCGTATTTTATATACGATTTTAATTATAAATATAATATAATAATAAATTATATATTTGACACTGTCGACACCACAAGTGTCCTTTTCGTGAAAACGCTTACGTCAAATCTGACAATTTGATAAGCGATGTGATTCCACGTAGTGACGCAGTGCATATGACTTCGGTTTTTCTTTATCTAATTTGACATTTGGATAAAGAAGAACGAACTAATTTGGGAATCATCAACTTGGAATTTGCGTTAATTATGCAATTTCGATTTATATTTTATAAGTCGATAAGGACTCGAATTGAAGGGTCGAAACGTATATTTTATCTGTTTTATTACATTCACACGAAAAATAAAGAATTTTTGTGCATCCGAATAGCTGATGTAGGCTTTTTTACATTTTTCTCACTGATAGATTCTTTCGAGCCTCGTTGTATATATTTGTTTATAATAATAAATATATGAATATGACTACGATATACAATTTTATCGATTATTGAGAATTACGGTAATTGAGATTACAGAAAAATAAAACAGTGTAATTTTTATGCGCGCATTTAAATTTCACGCATATTGAAATCTTCCGCAGATTAAAATCTTCTTTCTCAAACAGTGAAATGCGATAATATTTTCATGTTAAACGCGCACGTATGTATGTAAAGTGCGTAAAATCATCTTTATTTTACAGGTACGCCCATCAGCCGACTTCCCATCATGGCAAAATCCGTATTGGATCTCTATGAGCTTTACAAGTTAGTAGTACTACGAGGTGGACTGGTCGAGGTGATCAACAAGAAGCTGTGGCAGGAAATTATCAAAGGACTTCGATTACCAGCAAGCATCACATCCGCTGCGTTTACTTTGCGAACTCAGTAAGTAGATCGTAAAGTTTCTCATCCGGGACCCCGGTCTCACCTACATACAGACGTAATGCCCAGGCCCTTCGTTAATTCGCAATACACTACGTCTTAGTCAACGAGAAGCTCATCCGAGCGTGAAATCTGTAGCAATGACTAAGAGAGCGTCGTGACTTTCGCGCGCCTCACGTCTCGTCGAAGATCATCGTGTGTCGATAAAGCTGTGTTGTGTCCGTGCCGTACAAGATACGCGCACGATAGCGGAATCATACCGTTCGCACATATCTGCATCGTTTAGTCATCGTTTGCTGTCCGTGAACGTTTCTCCATTTCTTACATGCGTTTCGCTAAATAAATATCTCTATAATTAATCCGCAAGTCGGAGCCGCCGTCAGAGTTCGAAATCCCTGAAGACAAGACCTTACGGTCGCCGTCGAGTATACGTTGGCCGGTGTAATTCGGATGAATTGAATTTCGCGAGCCCGCAAGCATGTTATTGCCGCGCTCGCTGTCGTACGAGGAGCGATAAAACGAACGTAGGTGTCGAGCTAGAGGCGTGACGTACAGGTGCATCGTCTTAACCGACGCGTCGTCCCGCGTCGCGGGGATCCCCCGCGCGATTCTTCACGACGCGGGACATCTCGCGGGGGTGGGGGGG